CGAAAGAGAAGATTAAGCAAGAGACTTGGATCTATTGGCTTTGGCAAAAGGCTGAATACCTTGTCATGCTAATAAAATTACTGAATTTGGGGAGGAGAAAATAGGGCAGAGAGGGGGAAATAAAAAAGCATTAAAATTACCTAAGAATAGATATTTATACTCTGAGTTAATTTATCAAACTGACATAGAGATGAATCATTCACCATTAAAATAACAGGATAAGAGTTTTCCTTATATCACAATCATTATTTACAACTCTTAAATATTCACAGAGGAGTCAAGTATCCTTATATTTTCATTTAAAAAGTGATCTTGCAGGCCAAAATAAAACTATTGGCAAAATAAGTTTCTACAGGACTAGTGCCCAAAGAATGATTTCTTCAAAAACACGATAGATCTTAACAATCATGATGGCACTTTTTTTTTTTTTTAAAAACCTACACTATAGACCACACAGGGCCCAAGCAACTCACACAAAGCTAGATCTCTGAGTAACAATACAATGAGAATGGGTAATAACAAGGGCCTGTGGTACAGCTAGACACAGCTACTTAGGACTTTTAGAAAAAACTACACAAACCTCAGTTATTTTTTTGAGGTGACATACAACTCCGCTTTGATGCAAGTTCATTCCCACATGCTGAGAATCCAACTGAAGCCAATACAGTTCCTCTCAGTGAACTAACTTGAATATATGCATGTATATCTACAAGCCCATTAGTTTAATAATTGGCCTTTTTCTGCTGCAATGCCATTAGAAAGACAACCATACCACTGTATATTTCTCCATCTTGGAACGCACACCAAAAAAAACCCCACGTATCTGGGAAATTCAGAGAAATGCTTCCTGAACACCGTTTTGATTATTTAGGAATGGTTTTAATGTTATCAGTAACTATTTTCCATAGACTGACGTGGCTATGTATTTATAAACCAGACAAGAAAACAGAAAAAGAAACCTGTATGATACAATGAGTGTTAATAGTCAGCACTATCATTTCACCACTTAAGTGAATTTTATGGAATATAAGTGTCTACCTGAAGCTGTGCTTATACAACATATATGGGACACCCATACACACGCCACACATGATCCTAAAACCACAAAACTCAGAAAGCATATGAAAGCAGCACCTTCTTTTATTCATTTGTCTTTGCTGCTTCAACAGGTAATTTCTTCACAATCCAGGTTTTTAGTTTTTCTATTTCAGTTCTGCTTAACTCATGATTAAGGTTTGGAAAAGTATGAAGTGATGTTGATACTCCCAGTGACTTTAACATCTGGTTGGTCTCTTCACCCCATGAGTAGAGAACTAGTTCATCAGCAGTTCCATGACACTGAAATAACTCTGGAAGAACACTTTCATTTCTTTTCAAAGCCTAGATGGAGAAGAAACACCGTCAGACACATCACTAAATTTTAAAATAGCTACAATTACATGGTGAACATTTACATGGCATTTAATTTATTAATCTGTGTTTGTTGTACTATGTCTAGAAAAAGCAAACATGGAAATATTGGAAAAAAACCTGCACTTCAAATTCCAATGTGCTAACTCTTGAAAAATTACAGGGTTTACATTAAGGTCTATATCCCTCTCAAAATAAGAGAAATAGAAAAAATTCATGACAGCAGATGGAGTCCATGAATATTATAATTCCAAGAACAGTTACACTCACATGGCCTCTGACAACTAAAGACAACTTGCAAAGCATTTCATTTGTTAATCTGCCTTCTACACTGACTTACTTTGAATAAAATAACTGTACAGTCTGTGCAAAAAAGCAACAAAACACCATGTAATGACTGCTTTAAAGCCTCACTTCCCCAATATTCTCCTAATCTATTTCCAGGAAATGTCCTAAATTTAGAATATTAATCAATATCCTCAGATGAATAAACATGCTATACTCAATTTTAATTATCATGTTTTTCTTTTAGCTAAGCAGTTTTTCTGTAAAGTCTACCACACACTCACCTGGTAAACAGCAGAGTCTTTATTGAGAAAACTAGACAAAGCAAAGACTCCTGCCAGATCTTGATGAAATCTATATGCTAAATGCATTGCCATTCCACCTCCCATCGAAAAACCTCCTAGGACACAAAAGAACAAAGAAAGATTGGATTTTGCTATATGTCTTTGTAACCCACTATCCAATTTATTTTTATCTTCAGACTTGTTTCTTTTATATGCAATGCAATCAAAAAACATCTTCAGTAACGTAAAGGTTACACTGATCTTAAATCAAAGCATAATTCAATTAAGAAGTTGGACAGCTCAAGTACTGCTGAAGATTCATTACTCAGAGAGAGAAAAATAATAACAGAAATCAGCCAAAAAGCCATTACTTCAGAAGCTATTTGTGTATGGTCCCTACCAGGCAGTTGAACACTGTAGCCATATATTCTCTGATGTTAACAAAGCAAAACGAACAGATAATTCTCACTGCTTTTTTGTTCAACTTACTTTTCCCCTAGGCTAACAGCATTCACACTTGAAAGATCTGTATCACCACTGTACGTAATCAATGAACGTTAACCACGTTACAGTAGTACACAGAGGTTGAGGGTTTTTTTTGTTGTTAGACCTTAGGATACATCATAAATAGGGAAAAATGAAATGTACCCCACCTGAGGTCTAACAAGATCTCTGAAGTAATGCCATTCTCTGTTCCATACATCTCTTCAGCTGCATTAATCTCTTACACAAGATAATTCCTCAGGTGTGATTTTTACATGACAAATGCTTATTCATTAGGAAAGAAATCCAGACTACCATGTTACTTCACAAGGACACAGTACATAGGCTATTATACTGACTGCATACCAATAACGACTAGGGTGAAGAATGACTGGCTGCTGAAATCTCTTCTAGCAGAGACAGCAACCAGCGGAAGGGTTATGACTGGAGCTCTGCTTACAGCGGCATTAGCATCCATGGTACGGGTGATACAATTGGTTTGTGCCAGGTAGTTAACCAGCATAAATTAGTTGCAAAATTCTGAGCCCAGACCATGTCTCTCACACAAGAGACATGAAATTAGGGATCAAAGAAGAAATGCAAAAATACTAGACAAAATACCAAACCATTTCAGCTTGTTATCTTTTTTGAAGCAATTAAAATTAGGCTCCAGAATGGGAACGGCTCTTTTGCAAGGGCTATGTAAGCCCTCTGGGGTTGACTTCTGTGCTATGCAGAAGTTTGACATGGGTGCTAAACTCAGCCAGGAAACAGTGCCCCTACAGCACTGAAACTGAGCCCAGTGACACTCTGCAACTTTGGTACCTCACTGGATCCTGGAACCACATGGGAAATCTCTGGCACACACAAGCTCAGAGGCAGAAAGCGCTGCACTTCGTAAATACTAGTTGGGCCACGGTGAGACTGTTCCTAATGGGGAATCCTCTTCCAGCATGTTTATCTGCAAGTTCCTTCAGGTCTGAGGGACCTCCCTAGTCCCTTCTAGCTCACACTTCATCTCATGTTATGACTGGAAGATTTGGCTGGATTTGTATAGGAAATTTTCCTGAAAACACGAGACTAATCCAGACATGAAGTGTTTTCTTTCTCCCACACATAATTTTTTGATTTCTGATTAATTTCTGATCAGAATTTCTACTGAATTCCTAATTCTTCTTTCTACTTACCATCACCTTGTAGTCTCAAAAGACTATTATGGCCAAAAAGCGGTAACTGGGGGTTCCTGACTTACAGAACTTGGATCTTAGGGAGAAAGAGCAAGACCATACAATGTGGAACACTGGAGTCTTGCTTTCCTTTTTCAAAATCCTTAATTGAATTAGGAGAGCTGTATCCTCAAACTAGGACATACACCTCAGATCTCTTAGCTATGCACCCAGGGGGCTGATAATACCCTGATATTTTTCTTTGCTAAAGAAAGTCAGGACCTGCTATTTACCATACGAATCAATGTTTAACCAGTTCAGAGTTAAATGTAGTATGTCTAAGTGCCCAGTGGCAGTTCAGGAACAAAGGTCGCTGAGGAAAAGTAGGAATGAATGTGGGTAAACAAGTTCAGAGCACACCTTAAAAAAATTACACAGCCCACATCACCTGAAATTTTGAATAAACTTGTTCATTCACAAAAATAAAAGTACTGAAACTACTACTGCTATTTCCTTCCAGACATGTTCTCGTCGCATGTAAAAGAATTCTCCAATAAAAAACCATATATATTGCATGTGTCACAGTAATCACAAAAGTTCAACACCACTGACCCCACATTCAGAGACAGAAAAATACAGCCTTCTGAGAAAGTATATAAAATACAACAACTATGCAAAGTGACTATGTAAACAACAACATCTTGTGCTGAAGTTTCCTTTATTCTCTTCCGTGGAATCTGATCACTTACTTCATTCCCTTTTGATAGTTCTGAATGATGCTGTCATCCTCAAAACCAGAAAGTAGCACTTCTACTCTAAGAGACCATTTTGCATTTGCTTACAAATAAATACAAATATACTTGGTTCATATATAAAATGAAGTCCATTTTAAGTATTCTAGAATACAGGAAAAAAGCTGCATTGAAAACTCATTACTAGTTTGTAAATGATTTAATCTAAAATTTTGTACCCAGTTAGTCACAATCTGGCAACGCTATCTGCAATTACTCACCAGCAGTCTTTGACAATGCAGTCACCTTCTGTTTAGAAGAATATTAGGTAATGTTTCTTTTATGTGGCTCACACTACTATGAGAAAATGTAATGCAAAGGACTAGTTCTTTGAATTTGGTTTTCCAGAGGAAAACCTAAAGTTTATCACTTGCTACCACAACAATCTCTTGAGTAAATGCGGTATAGTAAATGCCTCAGAAACAGCAATTTGAATAATCATTTGTAGTTGGAGACAGATTTTTTTTTTTATTACAAGCAGTTTTCAGTATAAGCATAAATGTGACATAACACATAAAAGACATGCTCAGTCAAGAACTTTTGTAAGAACTCAAATTTTGCATTAAGGAAAAATAAGCGGCAGATATTACATAAAACAAAGGTATGAATTGACAGTCAGAGCATAAGCAAAATACAAGAGTACAAGTATGCTTATGTACACCAATTATCTCAGCACAAAGAATACGTAAACCTCACAGCAGTGCTAAGCAGACTGTGTCATGAATGTTAATCAAGACCAAAAATGACACGGCAACATTTCAACCTCTGATGGGCAAAATATAGCAAGCCCTCTGCTTTAGATCATTCTGTTTCCAAGAAGTACAAAGGATGTGTGCAGAAGTTCAGAATTTGCCAATAGGTTTCACATAAAAAGTATGTTCATTTTGCATTTTCCTCCTTAAATCTACTTTTAAAGAGATCTGTGGTTAATGCTTCAAAAGTTAAAAAGTGTTGGCTCTACAATGCTTAGGACACCAGTTCAGGAAAGCATCTAACTATTCGCATTAACTTTCCTGCCTTACAAAGGAGGTTTATGCACAGACTAAAATGTAAGCACATACAAAACCAGACTCAGTTAAGTAAAGCACTTCTCTTTCAGTTGCAAAGAAACTTCACTCAAGTACGCATTTATGACCAATACCACTTTGCAGCAAGAAGAAAGTTGCTTGTCTTCCTTTGCGAGTTGAGAAAGATCTGCTGAAATCACAGGATCATCACACTTCCGAATTAAAGAATTTGAATCAGAAGGAAACTCCCACGCAATACTTTGCTAAAAACAAAGAATTCTTTGCTGGAGTATCATTTGTAACTATGTTAAGGTAACCCCAGCCATACAATGATGTAACACAGAGTGAATAGAGACTGGATTTCTCATACATAATTTATTCCTGCTTGAATAAAATAGAAACCTTCATCACAGCTGCCATTTTTCAGTGATAAAGCCTTCTTTTCACAGCTTGTAAGTGGCCTTAGGAGCCTTTTAAACAAAGTGTTTGTATAAAACCTTCAGCTCACTTCTGCTAAAGATCTTGATTTATATTAATTTGGTCCTCATTTGTATCTGTCTGAACTGATAATCTGGTCCATGATGACACTTGAACATTATACTGAGTTCAGGAAACCAAATATTTACCTACTGTCAAACTTCAGCTTTATTAATTTCTTTGTATTTGGGCTAACAATGTTTGGGTTTGTATCTCAGAAAATGACTAACTTTATTATCTAGCACAAAGGTTTCTTTATTTAGTCTTGTGTTCTGTATACCAGAGAGAATACTAAAAACTCTGCCTTCTCCCCCATGCTCCACTTAAGTGCCTGCAATGACTTATTCCTGAATTCAGAGAACTCTTTAGGTTTTCACTCTTCTTTATAAAAAAACCCCACCTCTCTAACAAACACAGATCTGAGATTGCCGATTGCTTCCTGAGTCATACAGATCTGACTATAAAATGCCTTAGCCAGTTTATTATCGATAATGATTACGGACTTAGGAAACAACAAACCAGATCACTTTTTCAGTCTTTCCAGTATAATTTTAAAACATGAGCAAAGCTGTTTTCCACACTAGAAATCACAGCCATTGGAAACAAATTTTAGTTATTAATCATATTTAGTGCCTGAATTTAGTGCCTCAATCTGCACCGAGTACAGATCTTCTGCTCCTTGCAGACAGACCTTGAGCTCTTCTCATGTGAATTTCAGCGGCAGAGGTAGAAACTGCTTCATGACAGCAGAACTAAAAGAGGAAGAGAAGCTAAGCCCCAGACTTTGACGAGATAAGGATTCAGACTTGGGTGTAGAGGTGGGTTTTGGGGTGTTTATTTTAAACAATATTTTTTCACTAGTTTCTCTCTAGTAGTTCTTCATCATCCCTGTCTTTCTTCAAATTTGTCAGTACAGCTTTGGTAACAAAGTGGCAAGAGATGAATGCTATAGCATACAGTGCCTGTGCCAGCACAGTGCAAGGAGAGACAAATATTGTTCTGTTGTGTAAGGCTACATCAGCACAGTTAGAAACTGTCTTTGCCCATCCTGTTATCATCACAATACATTACATACTGTTGCCTCATTTTATTTCCATTCTTCCAGCATTTTTTATTCTCAGTTTCTCCTTTCTTTAGATATTTCAACTTAGAGTTACTTTAATCAGTTTGTTATCAGGAATTTTTCCCTAAAGCTACATTTCAGTTTACCTTCCCCTCTCCCTAGAGACTTTGTGATTTACCTTCTATTACCGCTAACAGCAAAACCTTGTTCTACACATCATCTGCAAAGAAGCTGACTTTCTGTTTTGACCTTCCTTTCATCCATGAATGGAAGTATTATACACATTTAACAGAGTTCACATATGAATATCAGCGAAGAGCACAAATGTCAGTGGAAAAGCAAATTTCCTTCTCCACAGAACTCCCTGAACACCACTCCTGTGCAAGTGCTCAAACATGGATTTTGTCTCAAGTGAATTTCCTCACAGATGCAATTTTCTCCTTTTAATCTTTTCATGAAACTTCACTGAACGCTGATGTTATACACTTACACAACTGCAATGAATGGTTTCCACCTTTCATAGCCTTTTTATTCTGTTTGTAGCTCAGTAACTGAGAATCTTTACAAGAACAAAGGCCACTTCCCTTGACTGGCTCAGCCACTTCCTCTTGTTAGGAACATGAATCAATCTGCTATCCAACTTTCTCACAGCCAAAACACATTTTGAAATGCATATTTCAGTGGTATAAGTTTTACTGCTTTCTTGTAAAAAGAAGTATACAATAGTTTCTAACGTATCAACTCGCACTAAAACCAGAACCAGTTAAGGTTCTATTTTCAACTGATACGGGTAGTAGGAGGGGAACCCAACATGTGGACTTAAGGAATCATAATTTTTAGCACTAGAATTATTTTAAAATCCATGAAAAGTCTCAATTTTTACTAACATGTTACTCTATCAAATCTATGGCTTGCTTTATCCACTTAGTGTGTTTTCTTGTTTGTTCCTGGGGATGACAGCACAGCACTGCTGC